AACCGGCAATTCGCTTCCATGAAAATTACAGCTTAGGAAACCCTATGAGGCAGTTCTATTCTCTCACACTGGGTTCCAATGAGTTGGAATCAATTTGACACCACCTAACAACAACATCATGGGTGTCAAAAGGAGTCCCAAAGTGTGGTGCAAATTGTTGCTTGGCTGCTAACTGAAAAGTTTGTGATTTGAGTCCATCCAGAGGCACCTCAGAAAAAAAAAAACTTGGCAACCTACTTCTGAAATACCAGCCACTGAAAACCCTGGAGAGCACATTTCTACTCGGACACACATGAGGTTGCTATGAATCAGAATCAACTCAATGGTAACTGGTTTTAGGGGGTTAATGCAAGGTAACGATTTGGCCCAATCTTCTTCCCAGAGAAGATGTGCTCCTGGCATAGCTCAATGCCTCTCAACCTGCGAAATGTTATGAGTTAGTGTTATGTTAACAGGCTGAGATACTCAGTGTGAACACTGGATGTGGGGTGAGTGAGATTTATTATGCTCTCTGCTTGACTCCAACAGCCCAGCAAGGTTGGGACTGTTGACCCCACTTTGCACATGAGGAAACTGAGCTTCAGAGGGTTTTCCTGGGTCTCAGAGCTGGGAGACAAAAAGCTGGGATTCAAATTCAGGTCTGTATGGTTGGGCAATCTACTTCTGTAGTGATATGCCTCAGAACCCAAGGAGGGGTCACTATGAGTCGGGGCCAACTCGATGGCACATAGCAACAACAACAAACAAGTCTCCAAATCATTCATTGCTTGATCAACTGAACCGCATCAGTGTCTGCCATGAGGGACCATCAGTTCCCTTGGGGTTGGGGCCATCTCCTTATCTCTCTGACTGGAAATTCAGTATAAATCTGGACTGTGGAATTTTACAATGGCTCTTGGCCCAGTGCTTGTCAAACTTTAGTGAGCACATGAAACACAGGTTCTGATTCAGTGGGTCTTACCAGGGCCCAAGATTCGGCATTTATACCAAGCTCCCAGACAATGCTGATGCTGCTGGTTTTTGAGCACACTCTGAATGGCCAGGCTGTGACACGGCCTCTCTCTTTGCACTGTCATTCCCTTATGAAAGTGATCACAGAAGTGCATTCTGTATCTCCTGCTAAAGTGCAAATCCACAAAGACCTGAAATCATGTTCTAATTTACCCTCATACTTCCTGTGGTGGCTGATGGGAGGCTGGCTTCCATAGAATCTGGTGAGTATTCTGAGCTCCCATTTCAGTGGGCAGGGGGAAAGGCCAAGGACACTGCAGAATTAGGATGTTCCATAGTCCTGGGGTGACAACATCCCTTAGCAAGGGTGGGCCCAGGCTCGGACAGTTTGTGGTTCCAGAGGGCTCATCAAGATGAGAGCTAGTTATTGGACAGTGGTTGTGAGAACTGGGTGAGCATCAGGAAAAAGGCAGATGGGACAAAGCTTTCCCATTTACCAGCAGGTACAAAGTAATCCAGTAAATATCTTGAGCCCTCATCATGATGTCATAGGTGATGGGGATGCCCTTGCTTCCTGGTGCATTTTCCAGATGTCCCCAACAGCCCATTATTGGCATAAGATCTAGGGTGATTTTTTTAGAATACAAATCTGACTCTTTCACTCCTCTACTGAAAACAATCCTAGGGCTTTCAATTCTTCTGCTGAAACACACACTCTGTACCATGGCTGGAGCCCTGCGTAGCCTGACCCTGCCTGCCACCACCCTGTCCTCGGTGTTCACTCAGATTTTGTCCACTCTGGCCATTCTTCTGTTTTTCAAACATACCAAGCTCATTCCTCCCTCAGGGCCACCGGCCTGGCTCGTTTTCTTTAAGTGTCTTCACTGCTTTACTTTGGAAGATTGGCCATAGGCAAAGTTTAAACAGCAAAGTGACTCCAAAATGAAGTATAACCTTTGATTTTTGTGAGTTTGGCATGGATTTATTTTATCTTTTCCTGGCTCTTACCCAGTTGAAGTTGGGAACTGTGTGACACTATCATGGCAGAAGAAAGGGGATAGAAGCCCAGAGACAGAATGAAACTTGGTCAAAGCCAGTCCAATGTGGTGGGGGGCAGACCATCTAGGAGTAGACCAGAAGTTATGACTTGGATTCACGGGCAGGAGATGGAATCTTCGCAGGCTACTTTGACCTGATGTATTTTACAATATGTGTATGGTCCTGCTAACCAAAAGGAGTCCCTGGGGGGCATGAATGGTTAAGGGTCTGACTACTAGCTGAAAGGTCAGCACTGTGAGGCCACCAAAGGTGCCTCAGAAGACAGGCCTGGTAATATCCTGAAAAAATCCACTGCTGAAAACTGTACAGAACACAGATCTTCTCTAACAACCACGAGGTTGCCCAGAGTTGGAATTGACTCGACAGCAACTCACCTCTTTGTCTTTTGTCTTTTGACTTTGCTGAATCTAAGGTTGTACATCTTTACAATCTACTTCCATAGTGATACTGCCTCGGAAACCCAAGGAGGGGTCATTATGAGTCGGGTCTGACTCAATGACATATAACAACGACAACAAGGCTGTACATATGAGGAAACAATCAACTCTGGATTTCTCTTCCATTTGTGCTAATCTATTTTCTTTCTTTTTGTTTTTGGTAACAAAATATGCTTTTTGAGTCCAGAGGAGGGTGATTTGTAATTTATGGATTTCTCTCTAGAAATTACAACCAGAACCTAATTTTAAAAATCAAATTGGTTTCATCTAATTAAATCTGGAAATTGCCTCATAAACACGTATTCTGTTATAAATGTCTTCAAAAGCAAGCTTCTCCTGCTTACTGTCTGGGGCAGGATTGGGTTGAGCCTGGTGTGGGAGGGACCCTTGATCTCTGCTCAAGGACATACCCTCCTACCAACTGCTGACTGAAACTTTCTAAAGAGCAGTATGGTCTAGAGCACAGCATTCTTAAACTTTAATGCCAATATGGACCACCTGGGGCTCTTGCAAAAATGCAGATTTGGATCTGTGGGTTTGGAGTGGGACCTGAGATGCTAAATTTCCAACTGGCTCCCAGGTGATGATGATGCTGTAGTCCCTGGATCACACTGAATAGCAGCAGAGCACAAGACATTAACATCTGCATTCAAGAGACATGAACTTGGTGCCTTGGCTTAGTGTTTTCATTTCACCTGAGTCTCAATTTCCTCACTGATGTGAGGATAAGCATGACAGTGTATAATGCTGTTTCTAGGTGCTAACCACTGTGCTAAACACATTTAATTTGATTCTCACAGAAAGCATGTAAGGTAAGTTTTAGTACTGCCCTTGTTTTCAACTGAGAAACCTGAGTCCCTAGAGTGGAGTTGTTAGCTCCTCTTCTGAGGAGTACTATTGTTGTTGTTGTTGTTGCTGTTTGCCATCGAGTCAGCCCCAACTGACCCCTCCTTGGGTTTCCGAGGCAGTTATCACTACGGAAGTAGGATTGCCCAACCTTCCTTCCAAGGAGTGGCTGGTGGGTTTGAACCTCCAGCCTCCAGGTTAGCAGTCAAATGCCTTAGGCACTATGCTAGAGTTAGTGATAGAAGCATTTCCTGAAGGTGTTTTCTCAGTGCGGTGTCTATGGTGGTTGGTGTTCTCCCTCTGAGAGATTCTGGGTCCATTGATTCATCCTGAATGTTTCTTCCTCATCAGTCAGTCCCTAACTTTCTTTCCCAGAACTTGTCCTCCCTTCTGGTGGACCATTGTCCCCCAGCCCACTCTCAGCAGGTACGTAGTAGGTGTATATTTTTGCATGAACACTCATTGGCCTCCACCCAGCTGCGGGCCTTTCATGCATGCTTCAGCCTGGGGATCTTGTGTCCTTTTGCTTCTCAGACTCCTGATAGCAACCCCGCAGCACTGATTACCACCCCTACTTTACAGATGTGGAAACCAAGGCTTGGGAAAAGGAGGACTCTGCCAAAGATCTCTGGAAATTATGGCAGAGGTGGGATACTAGGCTACATCTTTCCAGCCTCAGCATTCATGCTCTGCTTTCCTTTATTTTTCTTTTATATCTCATATTGCAAGCTGATAATGTGTCAGGATATAAGGGTAGGAGGAAAGGCATCTTCTCTTTCTCCCCATGGTTAAATCTTACCTAAATCTGGTTGTTGAAGTTGTGTTGTTGTCGTCGTCTGTTTTTGTATTCGTTCGGTACAGTGAATTTCTATATAGCTGCAGTTTTGTAAGTTTTCAGAAAAACACATTATCCTGACTTAATGGATACATTCCTGCCTGAGGAGATTATTTCCCCCATCACTGATATAACAAGGCCTTGGCAATGCTAATTAATGCCAAAAGGAACTCTGGTAGTACAGTGGTAAAGGCATTTGGCTGTTAATTATAAAAGGTCAATGGTTTGAATCCACTAGCTGCTATGGGAGGCAACTCACATCCCTAGAGATTTCCAGCCTTGGAAACCCTATGAGGCAGTTTTACTCTGTTCTACAGGGTTACTATGAGCTGGAAACTATTCAATGGCAATGGGGTTTAATTAATGCTGGGTGGGTGTACTTTGGATACTACCTCCTAGGGATGACAGTATAATATACCTTGGACACAGAGTAATTTAAATATCAAGATCCTGTATCCTCAGGGTAGAGAATTACATTGGGACTATTTTAGAAGCTCAGGGACAAATAGGGGTGGGGTGTACATTATGGTTTCCTAGATGAACTATACCTACCATGTGCTGGGCTTGGCTGTTCTCTTCTGTGTCAGGACAACCTTACTTCTTGAATCCTCACTCTGCTACTGAAAGAATCAGTCATCACTGTGCTCAGTGCATGCTGTAACCAAATTTCTTTGTCATTGTGGATAGCAAGACAGCTGAATTTTGTCACCTTGTATTTTCTTCCCATTGTACTGTCAGAAGGCTTTTGGAAAATTGTATCTTACCCATGTTTATATCCTCACTGGGGCTCCACATAAAATAGGTTTTCACCAACTTCACAGTGATGTGACTTGAATAAAGCTAAGCTACTTGCCGTGAATGGACCACCTTACCTCGTAGAGGGTGATGACCCCATTGGTCTCATTGGGAGGTTTCCACTGGATATAGATCTTCTCCTCAAAGGGACCCCCTTGGATGGATTCTAGAGGGACAGCTCCTGGAACTACAGAAGAGAAAAGCCATGAACTTAAGATTACCTTCCATCTCATTTCCCCAGCCTCATTATCCTAGAACAGAAGTTGGTCAAGTTTTTCTATAAACAGCCAAACAGATATTTCAGGTTTTGCAGGCCATACAATTGCTATTGGCAGATACTCAATTCTGCTGCTATAGACAAGGCATTTGATTGCTAACCACAGGGCTGGTGGTTCAAATCCACCAGTCACTCCTCAGAAGGAAGATTGGGCAATCTACTTCCATAGAGAATACTGCCTTGGAAACCCAAGGAGGGATTGCTATGAGTCGGGATTGACTCCACAGCACTGAGTTTGGTTGGAGGAATAGGTGTGCAGTGTAGTAAATTACTTTGTGTGGCTTTTCTACCCATAAGTCTATGTAAACTCCAAGGTGGGATTTGCTATGAGCAACTGAGGAGCTCCTGATTGCTGAAGGTGTCCACCTGGAGTATTGCTGTTGGGAGTGGCACAAAACAATGTTCTGGGAGGTGCCCACTCTCTCTCATGTGCTTAGAGTTCTGATGCTATAATTGGCTAGTTTGACCACCCTGTGGGCTCTAAAGGAGACCTCCTGGAGGCAGAACTCTTTCTGACTGCTGGTTGAGGAAGACGTGCTGCTGAAAGGGATACGTGCTCCTGAGACGCATTGCTGGGAAAGAGATGCAAGAGACACACAACGCATTGCTGAGTGAGACACCGAGGGACCAGCACTGCTGGGAAAGAGACTGTGAGAGAGTGTTGGCTGAGGGACGGTGGGCTGGGAGAGAGACTGAGCGTTCTTCCTGAACTTGAGTTGTAGCCTGGTGCTTCCCTAATAAACCCTGTAATCTGTGAGTTCTGTGTGGCCACTGCAGTGAATTATCGAACCCAGGAGAGAGGTGGTGGGTGCTTTGGGAGGAACGGTTGGTGAAAGGGTTGGAGGGAGGCAGCATGTCTGGCCTTGCAGTAATAGGCCTTGGGTTACTGCTGGTAATCCTCTCTTCCTCTTGTGAGATTAGAGGAGGTCAGAACATGTGGCCTCCTTGCCGTTTTTGCAAGGTGCATGAATGACCTATGACAGCATTCTGCCCTAATGAGCACAGCCTGCTCCTGTAGGTAGGCCAGTCTTCCTGGCAGTGTCCTTCTGCTGGAATCCACCATCACTAGGACATTCTGGAGGGATCTGCACTGGAAAATAAATGCTTTCTCAACCTTCCAGGGAGAACCTCCTGGGGAGTCATGGATTCATGCCAATGATTACCAGATCTATTTATATTTTTGCCATTATAATAGCAGGTACTTTTACTAAGCACTTATACTTTGATCACAGTTTCACATACATTATTTCTTTGAAGCCACAAAACAGCTCTGCCCAATGTGTGTTATCTCTTTTGCGCCGATAAGAGAACTGAGGCTGAGAGAAATAACTTACTCAAGGTCATTCATCTCTTAAGTTGTAAAGAGGGAACTGAACACCTGTCTGTGAGCTTCACAGCATATACTCTTAATCACCATGCAGTGCCTCTCTAGATAGAGCCTTGGCCATATGTTGCAATCAGTTTGCTATTGTTAAATTAAAATAGATTTCGTTTTTCTCATGGCCATGGTACATAGAATTTGTTGAATATTAAGAATATCCAGAAAGGTTTAAAAAAGGAAAGAACTAAATCACACATCATCCCCATACCCAAAGATAACAAATGTTTGCTTTTTGCTGTATGTTTTCCCAGTATCTTTATGCCTATGCATAAACATATTTTATTTTTTAAAAATTTAACTCATTGCATGGATGGATGGACATAGAGAAGAGGTAACTATGGGGAGGAAGTGGGAGGGGAGCTGTTGCATTGGGGTAAATTGTAGTCAATATCATGGGACAAAGGGTATGTGAATTGCTGGATGGAAAGTGAATTTGCTCTGTAAACTTTCACCCAAATCACAAGTTAAAAAAAAATTAACTCATCATGTGCATATTATGTTATCATCATCTTTTATCACTAAACAAATCACAGGCTTGTTGTTAATCCTTCAGTGTGCTTTGGGGCCATGCATTTTAATGGCTGCCTAGAGGGGATATGCCCATTATAGTCACCAGTCCTTTATTATTTGGCATTAAAGTTGATTTGACCTCATCCTTGTAAATAAGTATTGGTATGCAACTCTGAGGAGCTCTGGTAGCATAGTGTCTAAGGCATTTGACTGCTAATCAGAAGGCTGGCTGTTCAAACCCACCAGCCACTCCTCTGACAGAAGGTTGGGTAATCTATTTCTTCAATGATACCACCTCGGAAACCCAACGAGGGGTTGCTATGAGTCAAGTCCAACTTGACGGCACATAACAACAACAACATGCAACTTTGCTTATGTCCCTAAGATAAATTCCTGGAAATTATTTCAGAGAGCAAACTAGATTAACTATTCTACTTTTAAGGCTGTTGACATATACTGCCAAGTTGTCTTGCAGGATGTCTGTGACATTCTGGGTGGCCCAACATCAAAACATTCTTAAATCTCCAATTCTTGCCAACACTGACTATTCATTTTAAAAATTAAGTGTTTATATGTGGGAGAAAAAAAGTACATGAGTATTAAAAAAAAAAAAAAAAACAACTTACTGTCCCTGAGTTGATTTGCCTCATAGCAACCCCTCCTTGGGTTTCCAAGGCGGTATCACTACAGAACCAGATTGCCCAACCTTCCCTCCGAGGAGTGGCTCATGGGTTTGAACTGCCAGCCTTCTGGTTAGCAGTCAAATGCCTTAGACACTACGCCACCAGAGCTCCCACATGTGTATATGTGTGTGTATGTATGTATGTATGTATGTATACACACACACACACACACATATATATGTCAGCTGCTGACCAAAAAATTTGCAGTTCAAACACACCAATGTCTCCATGAGAACAAAAAGGGCTAGTGATCGGCTTCCACAAAGATTACCGTCTAAAAAAACCCTATGGGGCAGTTCTGCATTGTCAAATAGGGTCACTAGGAATCAGAATTGATTCTGGCCCACAACAACAAATCTGTGTGTATGCATATATCATACCAGTTAGCATCAAGGTGATTCCAAATGATGGTTACCACATGGGTGTTTAGTAAGGTTTCTAAGGGGTGATATCTCAGAATATATCACTAGGTCTTCCTAAGGTACCTCAGGGTAGACTCAAACACCCAACCTTGTGGTAAGCAGGTTAGTCTGTCTGTGTCTCTCTCTTTTTCTCTCTCCTCTCTGTACATACACACAGATGTGTATATGGCTTTTCAGAATACTGAAGAAGGTAATTTTTTTTCACTTTAATCAGTCATTTGCGTTGATAACTTCTTTTGAACATGCTCTCTATATCTCATGTTTATTTCCCTTAGGGAATCTCCATTTTTGTTCAGTTTGTCTTGTGGGCTTGTAAGGTTACAAATATTTTTGCTAGTTTCTCACTTGACTGTGAGCCTTTACATACATAGAAGCTGTTAAGTAGTGAGATACCTCAATGTCTTCCCTTATCCATCCCTCCTTTCCACAAATATTTATTGAATCTTCAATAAGATCCAGGAACTGATGGACACTGGGGATACACCAGTATGTGGAGAGGGGAGAGAGAGAGAGAAGGAAAGAGGGAGTTGGTCAAATCCCTGACAAAGCTTGCATTCTGGAAAGGGAGACAGACATTAAATAAATAATTACACTCATAATTCATTACATTTGTTATAATGTCTCTGAAGTAAGGCGCAAGACACTAAGAGAATTATAACAGAGTAAATGTAGTCTGATAAATTAAGGATATGAAGTAGCAAAAAGTTAGAGGTGATGAGTAGAAATCAGGAGGACAGAGGTAGAGGGGAGGGTCGGAGTGTTGTGGGCAGCTTCCTGAGGGCACGAGCAGAAGGAAAAAGGTAGTTAGGAGAGGACTGTGGTCATCCTGAGGAGAGAGAACAGGAGCTTGGCCCAGGGGGAGAGCAGAGGAGCAAAGAAAGAGCTTTCAGGAAACTAACTACTGTGACTTGATGGTGAGGGAGGGAATGGGGGAGGTGTGAAGGAAGACTCCTGCTCTTCTTTTATATAGCTGTGGGGCGGGCAATGAGAGTGGTGTTCATAAAAGAAGCCTTTAGAGGATGACTAGTTTTGGAGAGGAAGCTGGTGAGCTCAGTTTTTGTCATTTTTCACCTGAGGTGTACGTGGTGGTGGTGGTATGTGCCATTCAGTCGGACCCCACTCATAGCGACCCCTCCTTGGGTTTCGAAGGCAGTATCACTACAGAAGTAGATTGTGAAACCTTCCTTCTAAGAAGTAGCTGGTGGGTTTCAACCACCAGCTTTCTGGTTAGCAGTCAAGTGCCTTAGGCACTATGCTACCAGAGCCCCCTGAGGTGCACACAGAGCATCTAAATGGAGGTGTAAATTAGCAGCTGGATATATGAGATTGAGGCCAGTGTTTGGAAATTGAAATGATGGACAGGGAATAGATTTTTGTAGCCAGTGTGTAATGGAGGGAGAGAGGGAAAGAAGCAGGTCTTAGACTAAGTCTAAATCAAAAATTCAAACACTGCCGTCAAATCAATTCCAACTCATAGAGAACCCCATTGGGTTTCCGAGGCAGTACATCTTTACAGAGGTAGCTTGCCCCATCTTCCTTTTGTGGAGCAGCTGGTGGGTTTGAACCTCCACCCTTCTGGTTAGCAGTCAAATACCTTAGGCAATGTACCACCAGAGTTCCTTAGGACTAAGTCTAGAGGAATGCTAACCTTCACAAAGAGGAGGGGGAGAAAAAGGAACTGAGAATCAGACAGAAAGGGCAGCTTAGAAAATCAGGAATATGAGTTGTCATCACAGCAGCTGGGTGGGGGAGGTGGATTCAAGAAATGGCTGGCCGACAGCACTGGATGTTGTTAAAATGTGAAATAGGGTGTGACCTTAAAATTGCCCATTGAATTTAGAGTTTTGAAAGCTACTTGGGATGTGAGCAGGAGTAGCTCAGGAAGAACACTGGAGAAAGAAGCCATTCTGCAGT